CAAAGTTGTGGAGGAACCTGTCCTGTTCCAAGGTCCAAAAAAGGGTTTTCTGGCCTCTAAAGTACCATAACAAGATGGCTAAAGGAAGCTATCTCAGAAGGATATGAAGCTGCAGGCCTGACCCCACCAGCTGTTGTCAAAGCACACTCAATGAGAGCCACGGCAGCCTTATGGGCGTAAAAAGCTGGAGCCTCCCCCCGGACAAATCTGCAAGGCAGCAACATGGTTTAACTTCAGCATGTTTGCAAAGCATTACCGGTTAGACCTAGCTGCCAATAGAGAACAAACATTTGGTAGGAAGGTCTTACAAGCAGCAGTTCCACCCTAATGTACGTATTTCTATTCTCCCATGTAAGCTGTCCTGGAAGATGGCTTGGGAAAACGCAGTTATTATCTGTTAACTGTATTTCCAGGACAGCGTAGTTCATGCCCAATTGATGAAGTGCTATGAGTGGTCATATTGTCATGGGAAAGACTATACATACAGAATATGTGTAAATGCTGTTACTACTGTTTTATAAATGATCTCTCCTAGACCTTCGATATATTCCTATACTCAGGACCCAGCGATGGCGAGGTTACTTATAGTGAAAAAAGTGGATCTGGTGGGAGGAGGAACCTATCTCTCATGTAAGCTGTCCTGGAAATACAGTTAATGGGTAATTAACTGTGTTTTCCTGCCTTAGATCCACAGCCATCTTACCTTTCAGAGGCATTGGACAGGCAGAGAGGAGATGTGTCTCCTCCAGGGTGGACTGACCATTGGGGAACTCAGGCAATGCCCGAGGGCCCGGCGTCAATAGGGGGCCCCATGAGATGTCCCTGGTACCTTTTCATAGGCTTTTTTGGGTGTTTGAGTGTGGGCAAGGACACGGGCTCCATGATCCCCTATTGCCTGGGGGCCCCATGAGTTGTCAGTCCGTCCCTGGTCTCCTCCCCACCTGTTTTTATTTTCATAAATAAAGTGCACCCCTGTTGGCTTGAATGGATTGCAATCAGTGGTGCTACTGGATGCCAAACATGAAGGGGGATCATTTTTGCCACCAAGCACCATGGTATGTAAACCTCTACAGAGCAGTAAAAACGCCACTCAAGTAAAGGTTGTTATGTTCTAGGAAAATCTACAAATATAAATTGTGACTCTAACTGTACCCTTTTTTTTCCTCCCCCTCCCCCTTCTGCCCAACATCCTCTTTGAATGAAAAACTTGAAGGAGCTGGAAGCAAAATTGTTGGCCCAAATGGCCCTGTGGCAGTTGTCAGAATGTAATGGGCACAGCAGGAGCATGGATGGAGAAATCTCATAACTTCCCCCCCCCCCCCCCCCCACCCTTCCCAATTCAGCCTACAGGCTTAAAAAAAAAAAAAAAAAAATCTAACAGTGTTATTTATAAAGTCTAAGGGCTCGTTCACACTTGGCTGTTTTACCAACGCTTGCCAAACGCCCCTATACAGTTTGGCAAGCGTTGGTCCGGCGTTTGTGGAGTGTTTTTTAACGCTTGGCAAACGCTCCGCAAACGCCGCATGCACGGTTTAGCGGCAGTTGCTAGGCGTTTGCTGAGCGTTAAAAATACCCCACAAACACCTATAATGCAGTTTGAATGATGTTAACGCTCCGCAACCGCACCGCAAACTCCAGCCGGGCGTTTGCGGAGCGGCACCATAGACTAGAATAGGAGGCTTCAACGCCTCCTGAGTCGACCAGAGGCGTCTGTTTTGCCGCAACGCAAAAGCTCCCGTTAGAACAGCACCATGTGCTGTAATGTGCAGAATTGGCAGAGGTGTTTGGGAAGCGGTAAAAATGCTTCCCAAACGCCTCTTTGCCGCCTGCACACAACGCTAGTGTGAACGTAGCCTAAAGCTAGCCTTAAATTAGATCTACTTAAATGAAATGCCTGTGCTTCCCTACACTATCCCCAGCACCTGAGTTTGGTGTTGAATATTAGATTTAAGCACATTGCCTCTCACCTGTTTACTCCCAATTGACCAGAGCAATGTATACAATTCTGCCTGTTCATGTAGCTATAACTTTTCATTAATTAAAAAGTTTTTAAAAAAATGTTTGCCTGTGTGTGTTTTTTTTTTTTTGTTTTGTTTTGTGTTTGTTTTTGTTTTTTTTTGCGCTATAATCAAATTTTGTCATACATTTAGGCCAAAATGTATTCTACTACATGTCTTTGCTTTAAAAAAAAAAAATATCCCAATATTTGTAAATTATTTGGTTTATGTGAAAGTTATAGCATTTACAAATGGCAATATATATATATATATATATATATATATATATATATACACACACACTCGGTGGTGTCACTGACATCCCCAGTGACACCAATACAGTGATCAGTGCTTAATGGCAATGTACTAATGGCACTGGGGTTAACATCCGGGGTGATCAAAGGGTTAAATGTGCTGTTTTACTAAGTGCTGTGTCCGTGTACTTCACTGTAAGCACACTGCTTTGGATGGATGTGCTCTGTACAGCCATCCAAAGCAGTGTGCAGGAGCTGACAGAGAGGAAAACTGTTTTGTTTACAAATAGTTCTCCTCTCCATCGGAGATGCTCGGTAATCACCAAGAGCTGGTGAATAATCACGGGCTGGAAGCCGGTGATTGACAACCATGGCAGCGCCCCCTACTTGGAAAGGCAAAATCATGTGTGTGTGTGTGTGTGTGTGTGTGTGTGTGTGTGTGTATATATATATATATATATAATGCATGTATGTACAGGTGAAACTCGAAAAATTAGAATATCGTGCAAAAGTGAATTTATTTCACTAATGCAACTTAAAAGGTCAAACTAATATATGAGATAGACTCATTACATGCAAAGCAAGATAGTTCAAGCCGTGATTTGTCATAATTGTGATGATTATGGCTTACAGCTCATGAAAACCCCAAATCCACAATCTCAGAAAATCAGAATATTGTGAAAAGGTGCAATATTCTAGGCTCAAAGTGTCCCACTCTAACCAGCTAATTAAGCCATAACACCTGCAAAGGGTTCCTGAGCCTTTAAATGGTCTCTCAGTCTGGTTCAGTAGGAATCACAATCATGGGTAAGACTGCTGACCTGACAGTTGTGCAGAAAACCATCATTGACACCCTCCATAAGGAGGAAAAGCCTCAAAAGGCAATTACAAAAGAAGTTGGATGTTCCCAAAGTGCTGTATCAAAGCACATTAATGGAAAGTTGTGTGGAAGAAAAAGGTGCACAAGCAGCAGGGATGACCGCAGCCTGGAAAGAATTGTCAGGAAAAGGCCATTCAAAAGTGTTGGGGACTTTCACAAGGAGTAGACTGAGGCTGGAGTCAGTGCATCAAGAGCCACCGCACACAGACGGATCCTGGACATGGGCATCAAATATCGTATTCCTCTTGTTAAGCCGCTCCTGAGCAACAAACAATGTCAGAAGCGTCTTACCTGGGCTAAAGTAAAACAGACCTGGTCTGTTGGTCAGTGGTCCAAAGTCCTCTTTTCTGATGAGAGCAACTTTTGCATCTCATTTGGAAACCAAGGACCCAGAGTATGGAGGAAGAATGGAGAGGCACACACTGCAAGATGCTTGAAGTCCAGTGTGAAGTTTCCGCAGTCTGTGTTGATTTGGGGAGCCATGTCATCTGTTGGTGTTGGTCCACTGTACTTCATTAAGTCCAGGGTCAACGCAGATGTCTACCAGGAGATTTTGGAGCACTTCATGCTTCCTTCCACAGATGAGCTTTATGGGGATGCTGACTTCATTTTCCAGCAGGACTTGGCACCTGCCCACACTGCCAAAGCAGCACCAAAACCTGGTTCAATGACCGTGGGATTACTGTGCTTGATTGGCCAGCAAACTCGTCTGACCTGAACCCCATAGAGAATCTATGGGACATTGCCAAGAGAAAGATGAGAGACATGAGACCGAACAATGCAGAAGAGCTGAAGGCTGCTATTGAAGCATCCTGGTCTTCCATAACACCTCAGCAGTGCCACAGGCTGATAGCTTCCATGCCACGCCGATCGAGGCAGTAATTGCTGCAAAAGAGGCCCAATCCAAGTACTGAGTACATATGCATGCTTATACTTTTCAGAGGTCCGATATTGTTCTATGTACAATCCTTGTTTTATTGATTGCATGTAATATTCTAATTTTCTGAGATTGTGGATTTGGGGTTTTCATGAGCTGTAAACCATAATCATCACAATTATGACAAATCACGGCTTGAACTATCTTGCTTTGCATGTAATGAGTCTATCTCATATATTAGTTTCACCTTTTAAGTTGCATTACTGAAATAAATGAACTTTTGCACGATATTCTAATTTTTCGAGTTTCACCTGTTGTCACCTGTATGTATGTATATATATACATAATGTGTATGTGTGTATATATATATATATATATATATATATATGTAGTGACTTTGCGCGCCCGTGCTGCTCTGTGGCAGTATTTGTGCTATAGGGCAGTCGGGAAGCAGTTAACTGAGAGATTAAAAAAATAAATAAACTTTGATCTGCAGCTGTCAGTCAAAGCAACCAGACAAAGTTCATCCCTTTTTGCTGTGCAGATGAATGATACATCAAGTAACAATATGTTATACTGTAGCGTCAGAGCAAGTATTATTTATAAACATTGTCAGGCTGCACTCCCAAAGTCTGGAACTAGGTAAACCAAAAGTTCAATTGGGCTTTAGGATCCATGCCCACCAGCCTAATCAAAATGCTGCTTCTAGAGGAGGTAAGCATTTTGCTGGTAGAAGCAACTAATGTTATGCTATGTGTTCATGCACATTAGATAACTTTGAGGCATATTTTAAAGTGTTACTAAACCCAGGACCCTGCATTCACTATATATGGTCTCCCCCAGTACACAGAACATGGAAATTCAATTATTTTAGTAAATATACATTACTAAATACCTTTTCTTACCAGCAGTTAAAGCAGTCCTGTGACTTCTGTATCCCGACCAGCACTAGCTAAAGCTTGTAGGAGGAGTTTTCTTTCTGGTCTAGGAGGATGCAGAACCCTTGACCGTCTGTCTGGACAGTGTTGATTGGCCCTGCGTTGATCACATCCACTCTCCAAAAAAAAAAAAAAAAAACGCAATACATGCCAAACTGAGCATGTGCAAATGCCTACAGGTCCCTCTGTCTTATCAGGAGATATGGTGGTTGCTTGAAAAAGGGGAGGGACAGAGAAGACAGGATTAAACAACTTTTTTTTACACAATGCAGAGGATTAACCCCTTAGGTTCCACAGTGAATATAACAAGCATGCTTTACTGCATATACAGACTGATTTTACTGTTGTGGGTTTAGTAACACTTTAAGCTCAGCATTTAGAGACAGAAAAAAATCCCTTGTTTTGCGTTTTTGAGAGCAGTTTTCTGGCAGAAAACGAGTTAAAAAATAACAAAATTACCCAAAAATGTTCACTTTTGTTTAATTTTTTTTTTTTCAATTTTCTTAGGAGCTTGTAGATTGCAGGTGCTGTGACAGGCTCCTGCAGACTCAGTACAGATATCTGAAGAGCAGGAAGAATCAATGAACTATGGGGGCACTCCCCAACAGAGCCCTGCACAGCCACGCTGGTTTAAATTTGTGACATTGAGAGATAATCCTCTGCCTGCTGTCAAAATAGGGGGGAGTTGTGGGGCTGCTGTTTTAGTAACATATTACACACTAAATACAGGAGTAACATGTTACTAAAGATGAAATTAACCTTTTCCAGTTGCTCTGAAGTTGTTTTCCATGTTTTTAATTGATATGCTGGAAGGTTTACTTCCAGGCAACTGAGTCTTCCTGTTGTTTTATCCTTTAAATGGCAGAGTTGGCAGACTTCCAGCCTAATTTATTGAGAAGAGACACAAGTTCAGTGGCAATGGTAAAGTAAAGAAGGTACATCCCAAAAGCCAGCCCTACCTGTAATTTGGTTTTGTAAAGCACGGCATGGTCACCTATAGACTGACATAATAACTGCATAGTTGCTGGCTCTATCTTGAACTCATAAGGAATCAATTGAATGTGCTTAACTAGACAATGATGGTAAATTGGGATTTTCACTGTGTTTATACCTAATTAACTGCTACAAACAGAATTATTTTTGATGTTCTGTAGAAGCAGTCAAAAACATTTCCACTGATGATACTGCCTCCCTGGGTAGTAGTGTCAAAGCTTCTGTTAAATGATACACACTTCAACCACTATGTAATTTTCTCTCGTTTTTTCTCAGCTTCTTTGACTCAAATGTAACATGAATAATTGAAACAAGATCTAAACGAAGTGGAGAAGCAGGAGGCTTTGAGGAATAATGTAGCACAGTAAGAGATTATCATAAAACGTCAATTACAGAGTAAGAACAGGGAAAAGATACTGGCATGAAGATAAAAATCACAGACCGCTACTGGATCTTCGCCAGTGTTTAGTAAACAATGCGCTACCTTCATCTTCTAAATTTATAGTGTACCTTTCACCCTAACACAATGAGGGCAGACATTTTGCAGGCTTTGCCAAACTTAACTGGCTAGATACTACAATCAATTATGATCTTGAAGCGGTCCTAATGGCCTCTTCTTCTTTTTTTTTTTCTTCCCCCCTTTTAAACACGTACAATAGTTGGGCACAGAACATCCCCCAACATCCTCTTCTCTGGTCCCCCACCTGCGCTTCTGGCTCATCCCCATTGCAAAGTGCCCCTCAAGCAAGCTGCTTGCTTTGGGGGCACTTGTGCGTACTTGCTCCTGAGCCACCTCCTGTGTATCTATGGGACACACAGTGTAGCTCAGTCCTGCCCCCGCTCCCTCCTCACTGGCTGTGATTGGCTCCCACTGCTGTGTCTCAGCCAATGAGGAGAGACAGTCCCAGGAGAGTTTCTGCTCTCATGCACATCATTGGATCAGGATTGGGCTTAGGTAAGTAGTGGGGGGAGCTGCATCCCGGAAGGTTTTTTACCTTCATTCTCTGGGGTCAGCTGCACTTTAAACGGAACTAAACCCTCTTATTCTTTTCAGCCAAGGAAGTTGCCATCTTAGCCTCTGTTTGATTTGCAGCTGCCATGGTGCTGCACATGTGATCAGTTATGACTCTTGCCATTTGATGGTTTGACAGTTTGGATGAGAGCACAAGCAAATGTGACAATTAGCATTCCTGGCATGCTGGGAATGTAACTGTTTTTGAAACCAGTAAATCAATGGGTTTAGTTCTGCTTAAGATGATCTGATGGTGACACGCCTCCTCCTGCCCTCTCCTCCATTCAGAAAATTGCTGTCACTGATTACGCTGTGACTGAACAGACTCTTTCCATTCACAGGTCACATTAAATGCAGTGTAATCAGAACTTTTCTCAGTGAAGGAGAGGGCAGGAGGAAGGGTGTCCCTGTCAACTCGTTTTTTTTACAGCTTAATGCAGAGACCCAAAGCTGTTAAAGTTGGCCATAGGCGGTTCGAATCTTGGCTGGTTGAGCAGGAACTGGACGAGATTTGAACTGTGTATGGCAGGCTGATTATACCCAAGTTGAGCGATTGATCAAACTGGGTACAACCAGCCTCCCAGATTTTACATGCGATTATCGCTAGTGACTGTTATAGCTGCTGGCGATAATTACTGTCTTCTATGGGTGAGAATGGCTCTCCCTGCCACCCCCCTCTTCCTGCCAAAAGAAGACAAAAGAAGGATCAGTGGGAGGGATTCCCCCATCAACACTGTCTGTGTTGCTGGGGGAATTGATCAAATATATTTCCTGCAGTCAAAGAAATTTGCACAGTCTATGGCCTGCCTAACCCATCAGTGCCAGAAGTACAGAGACAGGAAGAGACAGGGCAGCCCTGCACTGCAGCTAAAGTTTCTACAGAATCCTGCACATTGTGGAACAAACTTCATTTCAGGTAAGTAATGAAATTAAAGCTGTAGAGAAAAAAATGTTTAACTCCTTGGCACCGGCTGTACGCATATATGTGGCTGCTCGGCGGGTGGGCCTTAACCTTGAGTGGCTGCATATATGCAGCCCTGTGTAAACCTCTTCTTATCACATGACTCTGTGCCACTTCCCTGCAGATGAAGTTCAAACCGAGAACCAGTTGCCTGTATTCTTAGAAATTTATATTCACGGACATTTAAAAAAAACAGGAGAATGGCAACTAAGAACATTTAATAAGGAGGGAAACGAGGTGAATGCCAAGATAAAAATTGGAGCCACTTAGGCAGCTTCATGCAAAATTCAATCTCATGATCTCAATGACATGCTTCATTATATATTCTACCTTCTGCAGCCAGGCATCCTTTATGGGCCCAGTCCAACACACATCTGATGGCTGGTTGTAGGTAAAATGGCAGCTGATGTTCTTTTGTCACCTCACATGCCTCAGCCTGCTGATTTGATAATGAACGAGCAGAACACTGATGAGGCCATTCCTATGCTTCCTCTCCTTAAAGTGCAACTCTAGGGAGTCAGCAAAAATATTATTCACCCCTCCCCCCATGAAAAGGATAGTATGAGGGGGCCTCTAACAGAGTGAGATAATCATGCTCCATGGTCCCACAGGCATCTCCTCATTTTCCTTCAAAACCCTTCCTCTTCATTAATTGTGCAGCCACCAGTGGTCCTACAATGCACAAGATAAGGTCTAGGGCATGGGTGTCAAACTGGCGGCCCTCCAGCTGTTGCCAAACTACAAGTCCCATGAGGTATTGCAAGATTGACAGTTACAAGCATGACTCCCAAAGACAGAGGGATGATGACTCCCAAAGGCAGAGGCATTTGCAACAGCTGGAGGGCTGCCAGTTTGACACCCCTGGTCTAGGGCATGCCCAAATTCCTTGCCTGCTAGAGGAGAAGACCAGAGTATTAGCTAACATGGGACTGAGGTGTAAATTTAAGTGTTACTAAACCCAGGACCCTGCATTCCCTATACCTGGTCTCCCACAGTACACACAACATGGAAATGCAATATTATTGCTAAATACCTTTTCTCAGCAGTTAAGGCAGTCTTGTAACTTCTATCAGAGTCTAGCAAAGCACTGGTTAAAGCTTGTAGGAGGCATTTTCATTCTTCCCTGATTGTCCTATGAGACTGCAGGACCCCCGATTGACTCTGTGCTGATCACATGCACTCTCCGAGAAAAAAAAAACCCTCTAGCAATACACACCAAACTGATCATGTGCAGCTTGCCCCCCCCAAGGATCTGTTCTGTCAGCAGATGGATTGGGGACTGTGGAAGAAGGGGAGGATCAGATAAGACAGGATCAAACATAATTTTTATACAATGCAGAGGATTAACTCTTTAGATTCCACAGTGAGTATAACAAGCATGCTTTACTGCATATACATATTGATTTTACTGTTGAGGGTTTAGTAACACTTTAACCTTTCAGTTTTCCTGACATACATATTTTATAGTAGGTAATATAAATAGCGCCAAGGAAAGAAAAAATATATAATATATAAACTATACAGATAGCTGCAAAACCTAACCTATAAAAATCACATAAAAAAGTCCAATAAACTGTGTAGCAAAAAATTAGTAAGGTCAAATAAATAACTGCCAGCCCCGCTAACCCAATAAAGTGCTTTAAAATGTAATAAATGACAAACATAATTCATATAGCGCACGTCTTTATAAATCAATAATGTCATATAGTGACAGGGTAACAAATACCTGCCAGCCCAACTAATCCAATAAAGCACGAAAAAATAACACAAAATTAACGATATGAATAAGTTCTACACAAGTGGTAAAGTGTGCAAAATTGTGACAATAGATTAGTAATAAGTCCCACAATTCACAAGAAGGTCAACACAAGTGGGTTCCACTCAGATTGCAATACTGTGCACCTTTGCCACACATAATGAGCACTCACCTTGACCTTTGACCTATATAAATATAGGTCAAATATGCTCCTTCATATAATTCCAGGTTAAAAGGATCACCTGCCATTTGGAAGATACTGGTCCCCTTTAACCACTTGCCTACCGAGCACTTTTACCCCCTTCCTGTCCAGATCAATTTTCAGTTTTCAGCACTGTCGCACTTTGAATGACAATTGTGTGGTCATGCAACATTGTACCCATATGAAAAATTTTTATAATTATTTTTGAGACAGATAGAGCTTTCTTTTGGTGGTTTTTAGTCACCACTGTTAGTTTTTTTTTTTATTTTTTGCTAAACAAACAAAAAAAGACAGAAAATGTTGGAAAAAAAAAGTTTTTTTCTTAGTTTCTGTTATAAAACTTTGTAAATAAGTAAATTTTTCTCCTTCAATGATGTTCCCTTATGAGGCTGTAGTCATGGGCACTGATAGGTGGCACTGATGGACACTGACAGGCAGAACTGATGAGGAGGCACTGATATGTGGCACTGATGGGCATTGACAGGCATCACTGATGGGCACTGAAAGGCAGCACTCACATATGGCACCTATAGGCGGCACTGATTGGAACTGTTAGGTGGGACTGATGGGTGGCATTGACTGACACTGATAGTTGGAACTGAAAGGCAGTTCTGATGGGCACTGATATGTGGCATTGATGTGCACTGATGGGCACGGGTATGTGGCATTAATGGGCCTTGATGGGCACTGACAGGTGGCACTGATCATCAGTGCCTTGATGATCAGTGTAGATGTCCCCTTTGAGAAATGCCACCTATCGACTTTGCTCTCCTCATGCACTGTCAGCGTGAGGAGAGGACTGACGATAACCAGTATTTCTTTGTTTACATGCGAGCAGCTGTGAGAGCCTGTGTCATTAGATCTTTACTCTGATCGGTGATCCACTGTGTCCCAGGGACACAGCGCACCACCAATCGCTGTGCATCCCTGGGGGTGCTCATATGCAGTTAGGGCGGGAGGACATCATATGATGTCCTCCCAGAACTAGAGAAACCACCGCCCGTCCATCATTTCCTTATATGGCGGGCAGGAGGCGGTTAAATCATCATCAATGGTCCCGGATAGCGGTACAGTGGATATAAAAAGTCTACACACCCCTGTTAAAATGTCAGGTTAAAAATGTCAGGTTTCTGTGCTGTAAAAAAATGAGACAAAGATAAATAATTTCAGAACTTTTTCCACCTTTAATGTAACCTATAAACTGGACAACTCAGTTGAACAACAAACTGAAATATTTAGGTAGAGGGAAAAAAAAACTAAAAAACTAAAATAATATGGGGACATAGTTACATACAGTTGTGCTCAAAAGTTTGCATAGCCTGGCAGAAATTGTGAAATTTTGGCATTGATATTGAAAATATGACTGATCATGCCAAAAATGCTTTTTTATTGAAGGATGATGATCATATGAAGCCATTTATTATCATATAGTTGTTTGGCTCCCTTTTAAATCATAATGATAACAGAAATCACCCAAGTGGCCATGATCAAAAGTTTACATACCCTGGAATGTTTGGCCTTCGTACAGACACACAAGGTGACACACATGGGTTAAAATGCCAATTAGAGGTTAATGTCCCACATCTGTGGCTTTTTAAATTGCAATTAGTGTCATTGTATAAATAGTCAATGGGTTTGTTAGCTCTTACGTGGAAGCACTGACTAGGCTAGATACTGAGCTATGGGGATCAGAAAAAAACTGTCAAAAGTCCTGCGTAACAAGGTAATGGAACTTTGTAAAGATGGAAAAGAGAATAAAAAGATGTCCAAAGCCTTGAATATGCCAATTAGTACTGTTAAATCACCTATTAAGAAGTGGAAAGTTCAGAGATCTCTTGCTACCAAGCCAAGGTCAGGTAGACCAAGAAAGATTGCAGCCACAACTGCCAGAAGAATTGTTCAGGATACAAAGGGAAACCCATAGGTAACCACAAGAAAAAAATACATACTGCTCCTAAAAAATACAGTGTGGTTGTTTTGAAGGAGCACAATATGATGACACTTGAACAAAAATGAGCTGTTTGGCCGAGGTGCCAGAAAGAAGCTTTTACTGCACCAATGCCACAAAAAAGCCCGGTTACAATATGCCAGACAACACCTTGACATGCCTAACCAGGCCTTTTTGTGTCATGATGCAGTAAAGGCTTCTTTCTGGCACCTCGACCATGAAGCTCATTTTTGTTCAAGTGTCACCATATTGTGCTCCTTCAAAACAACTACACTGTCTTTTTCCAGAGCAGCCTGCATTTTTCTTGTTGTTACCTATGGGTTTCCCTTTGTATTATGATTTTGACACCTTTTTAAATATAGGCACCACAGTGACCTTACACCAATCCATGGTACTATGTGTAAGAGGTGTAGAAAATAGGCAGCCCCATAAAAGTGAAATCCAAAGCCTAATACTTAATATAACAGTAATCTATCTTTGTCAATAGAAGATATTAGTGATTGCATTTTTATTGTATCATCACAAGAGGGCAGAACTACTTCCTGTGATAATAGGAAGACACAGAAGTGGGAACTAAAAGTCTAATCATTTTTTTCTGTGTTTATTACAGGTAAGCAGGAGGCTGTTTAACATGATAAATAGGACAAAATGACTTAACATGTGCCCTGGTGATCAGTGAATGCCGCTGCTACTAGTATGCAATCAGACTACTTGTAGCATGAATATGGATATATATTGCAGCTATGCGATTTGGCGCTAAGATACAGGGAATGTGATTTCTCTATTGTAATACGCTATTGTTATGCAGAATAGGTTTACTAGCATATCTGCAGAGGTCTAGATATTCAATATTGTGATTAAAGATGTTTATTAATGCATATGAAAATACTTATTAATGTATGTGGAAATGTTTAGTAGTGTATAGAGGACAGTGATTACAGTGAACATATCCAGTCACATGTAATTAAGAGTTTTTTGTGTTTATTACAGCCATTCCTAATAAAGCATTTCTGGTTTCACCCGACCCATCCTTCGCACAGTGGAATTATTTACCGTATGTGCAACATATGCCAGTCATTAAAGAGTCCCTAAAAATTAGAAACAATGGCTTTGAAATAACAGAGCTCAATTTTTTAAGGTTGCATAACTGTGTACACCCTTAAACTAATGCTTTGTTGAAGCACCTTTTGATTTTATTACAGCACTCAGTCTTTTTGGGTATGAGTCTATCAGCATGGCACATCTTGACTTGGCAATATTTGCCCACTCTTCCATGCAAAAACACTCCAAATCTGTCAGATTGTGAGGGCATCTCCTGTGCACAGCACTCTTCAGATCACCCCACAGATTTTTGATCGGATTCAGGTCTGGGCTCCAAAAACTTTAATCTTCTTCTGGTGAAGCCATTCTTTTGTTAATTTGGATGTATGCTTTGGGTCGTTGTCATGCTGAAAGATGAAGTTCATCTTCATGTTCAGCTTTCTAACAAAAGCCTGAAGGTTTTGTGCCAATATTGACTGGTATTTGGAACTGTTCATAATTCCCTCTACCTTGACTAAAGCCCCAGTTCCAGCTGAAGAAAAACAGCCCCAAAGCATGATGCTGCCACCACCATGCTTCACTGTGGGGGTATGGTGTTCTTTTGGTGATGTGCAGTGTTGTTTTTGTGCCAAATATATCTTTTGGAATTATGGCCAAAAAGTTCAACCTTGGTTTCATTAGACCATAACACATTTTCCCACATGCTTTTGGGAGACTTCAAAATTTAGCCAGACTTGGATGTTTTTCTTCGTAAGAAAATGCTTCCATCTTGCCATTCTATCCCATTGCCCAGACATTTGTAGAATACGGGAGATTGTTGTCATATGTACCACACAGCCAGTACTTGTCAGATATTCCTGCAGATCCTAATGTTGCTGTAGGCCTCTTTGCAGCCTCCCAGACCAGTTTTCTTCTCGTCTTTTCATCAATTTTGGAGAGACGTCCAGTTTCTTGGTAATGTCACTGTTGCACCATATTTTCTACACTTGATGATAACTGTGGTATATCTAATGCCTTGGAGATTCCTTTGTACCCTTCTCCTGACTGATACCTTTTAACATTGAGATCCCTTTGATGCTTTGGAAGCTCTCTGAGGACCATGGCTTTTGCTGTTGATACGACTAAGAGAATGTCAGGAAAGACCTACTAGAACAGCTGAACTTTGGGGTTAATCACAGACAATTTAAATGATAGCAGATGTATACTGACTCTTATTTAACATGATTTTGAATGTGATTGTTTACTTCTGAACACAGATACATCCCCAGTTATAAGAGGGTGTGCACATTTATGCAACCACATTATTTTCGTTTTTTATGTTTACTCCTCACCCCCCCCCCCCAAAAAAAAAAAAAGATTTCAGTTTTTTTTTTCAATTGAGTTGTACAGTTTATAGGTCACATTAAAGGTAGAAAAAGTTCTGAAATGATTTATTTTTGTCTATTTTTTTACATCACAGAAACCTGACATTTTAAC